AGATGTATACTTCCTGGCATTAAGTATATTTATGCAGTTGTACAAACATCACCACCATCCATCCACAGAACTCATCCCAAAGCAAACTCCTGCACTCACGAAACATTAACTTCCCACACACCATCTTCAGCCCCTGGCAACCACCATTCTACTTTCTGTCTCTGTGACTGGCTTCAGATAAGTGAGATAAACAAGACTTGTCCTTTTGTGACCAGCTTATTTCAATTAGCAAACTGTCTTCAAGGTTCATTCATGTTGTCCTAATGAGTCAAAATCTCCTTCTTTTTAAAGGCTGAATCATTCTATTGTATATATGTACCACATTTTGTTCATGCATTCATCTGCTAAAGACATTTAGATTATTTCTGCCTTTTGGCTACTATGAGTAATGCTGCTATATAAAGTTTTATTTCTTATTTTGCACTGGTAATACATGCATTGGTAAAAATGCAAAAGAAACAAAACGGTCAACTGAAAAGCATAATCTCCTTCCTATGTAATAGTTGTATAGTTACCTTCCCAGTTCTTTCCAAGGATCTGCTGTTTTCAGGTTTTAGGGTAAAATTTATGCTGAGGAATTTTTTTAGGTTTTATCTTACACATACAGTTGGCCCTCTGTATCTGTGGATTCAACCAACTGTGAATTGAAAATAATTGAAAAAAATTTCTTCTGTACTGAACACATATACATTTTTTTCCTTATCATTATTGCCTAAACAACACAGTATAGTAACTATTTCTATACCATTTATATTGTGTTAGGCATTATAAGTAACCTAGAAAAGATTTTAAATATATGGTAGGATGTGTATAGGTTATAAGCAAATATGCTATTTTATAAAAGAGACTTCAGCATTTACAGACAACTATATGAACTATATGTGGGTATATATATATTTTTTTCTGTTTTTTCACCTGAAATTCCACTTGGCCTGAGATACATGCCAGTGAAAACTCGCTGATCATCTTATTTTGCTTCTTGCTTTGTTTGGGCACATGTGTGTATATGCACACACATGCAAGCATATACACACTCATATTTTTACAGTGGACATTTTTGTGTTTTCTTCAAATCCTATACAGCTCCCATGAAGCAACAAACATCAATAACCTGATACAGATCTTTCTATGCCTCCTTCCATGCTGCCATAGTAATATCAAACATTTATATTACATATAAATATAAAAGGGATGTTGTGGTCATTGATTTTACAGCGGCAGCAGCCTAGTATATAGTCTTTTCACACTTAACAATACACCATGGAAACCACACCTCATTCTTTTATAGTGTAAAAGACTATGGCTTAGATGTACAATTCATTCTGGCTCCATACATTCTGAACTTTGTTCCTTCTTCATTGCCTACTATACTACTTTGGCTTGCAGTCTTTAGCCACTTTAATGCCATGCCACATGAAGGGACATGCAAAGGAGGAAAAATTAGAATAGAAAGAGATAGTAGTCTCAACTAATGGGTAAAATCTTAATTTTTATACAACTGTCAAACATGCAAGCATCTGAACATTGCTAAGGTACTTCCCAGGGTCTTGGAGAGGGTCTTGTGGCAATACATTTCATAGTAAATTTGCCTTTGCTGAAACTGGGTTAAGCATCTGAAAAGAGGTACTAAGTTTTATATAACCAACTATTTTTGAGAACCTAACCCTTTTGCTAATTTGACTCAGTTCCAAAACATCTATTTTAAACATGCTTATGTATATAGTTTAGCACAGGCTATACTTACAAATGGAATACATTTCCAGTTGTTGTCTTAAACGAATTTTGCTCATTGTGTCATAAAAGTTGGGCTCTGACAAAGTTTCTTCTGTGGATGGCACACTGAATATCCTCATAATTCTCCTTTTATTCCTAAAATACAAAAACAATGTAGAATACAGATTTATATTGATTTCTATAAGATTATAATCTCAGAAAATATTGATGATTCACAACATGTGCCACATCCAGGACACAGAGGTAAAAGACAAGGCCCTTGTTCTCAAGAGGCTAAAGTTTTTGTAAATAAAACACAAGTAGTCAGATAATAGCAGTACTGTTTATAAATGCCTTGATAGCATCATGCACAAAAATCAAGGAAAAGCTTAAAATGAGCAAGGAGATTTGCTGAATACAGAGGAATTAGTGTTTCTGCATTTCAGGGACTTGCGGATCAAAAAAAAAAATGTGGTGTAGCAATGAACCCAGGCTGAGTAGCAATGAACCTAGAGTGATAATAAAATTGGGCTACCTTAGAAGTGACAGAATAGGAGGGTAGAGCGTCTGGCCCCAGGCCTGGGAGCTGTACTTAAACCTGTACCTCTAGGGGAATGGTGCTTTCAAAGCCAACCCCCAGACACCACCAGCCCTTGAACCAGAGTGACAGTGCCCCTGTTATAACAGAAACAAACATTCTGACAAAATTATTTTTTGTGCATTCAATTCAGAAAAATCCTATAAAACTCTTAAAAGCCCAGAGTCATATCTATGTTGAGATACTAACAAATCTACCTTTTGGCATACATGAAGAGACCGAAGCTAACAAGGATCACAATCAGGTAGACATTGGTGGCTTCATTCCAGGCCTCATGAACAGTGTAATCAATAGAACCGTCGTCCCCCATGACTCTGTAACTCCCAGCCATGGGGCTGTAAGAGAGAAAAGAAAGGAGTGTTGGCAAATGCATGGGCTGCTGGCTAAATCCAGTCCACAGCCTGTTTTGTTTTGTCTCTGGTCTTGGTTTTTTGAGACAGGGTTTCACTACGTAGGTTAGGCTAGTCTCTCACTTACTATGTAGTCCAGCCTGGCCTCAAACTTGTGGCAATCTACCTGCTTCAGCCTCCTGAGTGCTGGGATTACAGGTGTGCGCCACCATGCCCCGCTTACCACTTGTTTTTATATAGCCCACAAGTCAAGATCGGCTTTATGTTTCTAACTAGATACATATTATTTATTCATTTACATTGTTTGGTGCTGGGGATTGAACCTAGGGCCTTCCTTTCCTAAATTCACTTCACCACTGAACTACACTCCAGGACCCTACATGGGCATATATTAAGTGTTTCTAAGTATCTGTGTAACATCCTTGATTTGCCTCACAGCCCACAACGCCTAAAATATTTTCAATCTGACCCTTTAAGAAAAAGTTTACTAAAAAAAAATGTTGACTGACCTCCAGTCTAGATAATTAAAGCACAAACACATCTCCCCCCACTTTTCTTTTTTTTGCAGTACTGAGGACCAAACTCAGAACCTTGTGCTTTTGAGGCAGATGCAGTGCTGCTGAGCTAAATCCCCTGCCCTGACCCTTACTTTTAACTTTGAAACATTATAGCTCCCATATAGAGATCAAAATTAAGGATAAAAATATTATTAAAAGGATGGACATTGCAATGTCCATTAAAAGGATGGACACTGAAAATTATAACTATCATCCAGATGAAAGCAATAGAACCCTTGAAAACAGAGACCCAAAACTTGAGCTGGCTACGACACTCAGAACAGCATCTCCCTGATGACCACTGCCTGGAAAGGACATGATGGCCCTACCAGTACTCTTCCACAGGCTCCACCAAGCTGAGTCTGGAGCTGGACTCAGGTGTGGCCTGGGGTCAAATCTGCCTGACAGAAGCTATGGGATAAAAACTTCTATTTTGCTATTTATACAGCTGTGACTCTATAAAAAAAAAAGGTGTATCAAAGAGCAAGTAAAAGAGGAATGATTTCCTGTTTGCAAAATCAATTGAATTTTGAGTTTAAAGAAATGTTCCTCCTTTATATAGGACCTCATATGTGAAAGAGATGCAGAAGTGTTGTTTTAGATACAATAGAAAGGAAAAAATGGTAGTAATGATAGGTGATAACTGTACTGTAGTTTCTAAGAATAAGATAGCCATTTTTTAATACCAAGAAAAGGTGTATCTGGAATGTATAAGTTGTTTTGCAATTGTTTCTAAGTTGCATACAATAATGAAGACATTGTAGGAATTCCTCCACTAGAACACCTTGCAGTCTGTCCAGTAAACCATCCACATGTTCATTAATGTCAATTTGGCTCAGGAAGTTGGTCTGAGTAAGGACAGTTGGTTTTCCTTCTTCTTGCTTAGCTCTGAATAAAGTGATCAAAATTTAGGGACAGGCTTGCTCCTAAACCAGGTGGCATGTTTGCCCCTTTCTGATATCTGAAGTCTTTGTCAGTTATTTGGGGATGTGCAGTACTTATTTAGAATAAAGTGAATACCATGAACAGCCATTTAACTGAAACTCCTGAAACTGAAGTCAAGAGTAACTTCTCTAAAACACCATTGGTTTCTGATAAAAATAAAGATTGGCCTTATGAAAGTTAGCCAGGAAACAATAAAAATAATACTTTATAAAATTTTATAGGTTCAACATCAAAATATTAAACATAGATTGTATCTAATTCCTAGATATTAAAGACTGAGTATACATATATTTTTATAGCGTGGGAGGTGGAGGGCATGGTCCCATTTTCCATTCTTATTCTTTAACACAACTCCAGAGGTTCTCTGAAATTAACATTATGATTTATAATATGTAATCAAACTACTTTAGAGATGAAGAATTCGGGAAGACCAGACACTATAACTGTCTGTATGATTTATGCCAAAATGTTAAAATAACAATGACCACGGCTGGCCAAAAAAACAAAAACAAAAAGAAACAGAGCGGGGGTGGGGGGAAATACAAGTTTGAGGGTCCGATTTGAGATGCTACAGAGGCCCAGATGATTATGCAGCAAGGGTTGTAGCTTTTAGGACTGGGAGTTATTTTCAAATTGAGGAGAAACAAGGAACAATGCAGCAATGGCCATTAGGACATTTTTCTGACAAATTACATAAGTAATTTCCTGCCTGCTTTCTAATACTGAATGGACCTGAGCCGGGTTAATTTCTTGCTTCAACTTTTCACAAAATTCTGATAATGTGTCACTCAATAAATGGTGTGTGTTCCTACTCAGCACTTGATTTCTCCTGCTATGACTATTTCACCTCTTAATTATATTTAGGAAAGAATTTCTAATTACTGCTGACCCCAAATGGTAAAATTTTAATGTGAATTATATAACACATTATACAACATCGGTATGCAATGACACTGCTATTCCACAGTTACAGAAACTAGCACTTGAGTTATTTTGAGTAGCGTAGTTGTGCCAGATTTACACGGAGGTAGGCCTTTCTTGCCCAGTCCTCATCATGACCAACGCCATGCTTTGTAAGACTGCCAGAAATAAAGAATGCTCCAGCACACAGTACAGATCCATGGCCCACACGTGGCCTGAACTTTGACCATCTTCTACCAGCGTGCCACACTCTGACCAGGTGTACACACATCACGGGTGGAGTGGCTTGAACAGGCCACCACAGAACACCCGGGGCCTTCAGAGTGTTTCATTTCTGGCAGGTTAATATTTCAGCAAGATTACCAATATGTGCTTTGGGAGCCATTTGGGGCTCTTGGAGAAAGCTGACCTCTTTTCACAGTTCTCCTGTGATGTAATGCTTGAATTAGTAGTATTTCAGAAGGAAGACAGTACAATGAGCTGAATTAAGTCCCTGGTGAACATGAACGTCCAGATATAAAGCTGCCAAAATGCATTAACTAGGTCTCAGTTTTAGGTTGATAAGTTTAGGTTAAACTTTTCTAGGTCAAACTTTAGGCAGTGCCTCTCCAGGACTCTTGTGACAGTACCCTAAGCAAATGAGTCCTGACTTCGGGTTCCTGATACCATGTCTGCTCGGCTTTAAAATGAAATATCACTTATCCTGCCTGGAATGCCTGGAATGTTACCATTCTTGTCTCTTACAACCTTGTTCTTTTCTTTCTTTTTTTTGGTACTGGGGATCGAACTTGGGACCTTGTGCTTGCGCAGCAGACGCCAGAACCACTGAGCTAAATCCCTGGCCCAACCTTGTTCTTTTCTGACAGATATAGGATTGCCAAAGTGACTCCAGAGGGTTCTGCACCACAAAATCCACTAAGTAAGTAAACGGAGTTTCCTTTCTCTCTTTGAAACCCGAAGGGCTGTTTTTCCGAAGCAGGGCCCGAGCTCACCGGCCTCCCCGCGGGTTCGGGCATGCAGGTCGCGCTCGCTCGTGCACGGGTCACGACACCCGCGAGGCCCCCGCCGCGTCGGCCTCTCAGAAGGCCGCCCTGGGCACAGGTGCGGCGGGATGGGTGACCTGGGCCGGGTCGCGCGGACACCGCCCTTCCCCGGCAGGCCGGCCCTCTCGGCGCAGACGTCGCCGCGCGGTGAGGGCTGGGGCGGGGGCCGGGGCGGGG